AAAATCATAAACTAGGATAATTGTTAAAAATTAACATTGTAAAGATAAATAAAGAAAATAATACCTTCGATATGATTTCATATTCAATAACTTGAACAAAGTACTAAGGGGATAAACTATAAAGTCAATGTTTGGAGGAGCATCTAGCCTCCATGTTGAGTTATCCAACTCAATGAATATCGATTGGTGAATATAGAAACTAGAAAAAAAAATCTATCAAAACTCGATCAACCTAAGACAAAATCATTGCCAAACATATTCAAAATGAAACAATAAGGAAAAAAAACCAGAATTTTACCTCACATACAACATAACATCTTGCAACATTTGAGGGTTGTCTAGTGCAGCTATGCATTATCCATGAACTCTCACTTTGCCGAACTCACAAGTGGAACAACACTTTTCCCCCACTTCATTGGAAGCCTACCAATCTAACCAAAAAAGGAAAAAAACAAATCAAGTGAGTCACAATCCTTAAAAACGACAAAACCAATGTTCACAAACATATTCAAATAAACAAATGATCAATACTCTTGCATAACAAGAAGGGTTAGGACTCAAGTTCAAAATCTCACCTTTAATAATAAGCCATTAAATAAATAAAAAGAATCTAATTTTTTTTATTCAAAAAATCTAGACTTTAACAAAGAATCTCGTAGCAATAAAACCGACCTCTCCAAAACTTTTAGTAGAGAATCAAACAATCCACTGTCTATTTTATCCGGAGCCAAAATTAGAAAACCCAAAATGGACAACTTCATTGTCCACCAATTTCCTTCCTTTAGTAGTAGATGAAGTAGTAATAACACAACCACCAACCAAGTACCAATCTTTCTCTTCCGGGAAATCTTCATTTTTCACTTCAACTCCATCTACACGATCCTTTCTCTCATCGACCACTTCTTTTTTGACATGGGGTTGGACCTAAACTCGATGCTTGTTTGCGTCTTCCCGGTAGGTGATTTTTCAAGGATGTAATTAATAGCTACTTCGGTTCGTAGCGATTGAAATGGAGAGGTTGGAAAATATCGAAGAGTCATAAGTCCGGCTCGATTAGTGATCGAACCTTATTTACCCTCTCTTTCTTTTCTTCGAATGGAAGATCCTACGCCATATGGGTTTTGGATCATAAAATAAATAAAGAGAGTTGGTCACTAAATATAAAAAGAAGAGAGTGAATTGAAAATGAAAATGAAGAATCAAATAGAACCGACAAAATGAGAAAAAAAATTTTTTTGTGCATGCACGTGCGCGCTTCGTATTTGTAATGGGAACTTTTTAGCCCTAAATCTTTTTCGATAGTGAAACGTTTGGCGGTCTTTTCATACTTTTTACCCCTGTTTATTTGGTTTCGAAGCGAGTGAGAGATAAAAAAGGTGGGTAAATTTTAGAGGGATGGGCTTCACGGGCCTAGAAGCATCGTAGCAGAGAAGAGTGTTTGCATGGCAAGCTCGATATGTACCGGGAAAAGTACAAAAAAAATAAAAGAAAAGAAGAAGCAGCAACTTTTTTAACCTATCTTTTATCAACTTCATTGCTCCAAGAGGACCAAGGTGTTGCAAGTTGAAAGGAATTGGTTTCGTTGTACATCGGTTATAGAATATTGTGCTTTTGACACTCATAACATCTTAAGAGACTTTCACTATATTTATATCAAAATTAAATTTAAAATACCTTTAAAAATTGTGTTGATTAAATAATATATTTCTTCTCCGAAAGATTAATAATGAGATTCGAATTATTTTAGTTTTGTTTAATGTATGTGCTCGATAATTCATTAAATAAAAAATAATACGTACAAATGATAACAAAATATATAATAAAAAAATTCTTTAAAAAGAAAAAAAATAACATGTAAAATATAAAATTTGCACGCTAGATAAAACGTATAAAACTATATTTATCATTAAATATCTTTTTGATCGGTGCATAATTTATTTAATTTTTATTCTCTTTTACATTAAACTTATTAATACATTATGTGCTTAGTAGGTTGATTTAAAATAATATGACGCTTATTGGTTTTGCAAGAAAATGATAGCAAAGGCCATTAAGTCCAGCCTAAGTACATGATGGATATTAAGTCCATTAAAGCTTACTCCTAAAAAGAATGCATATGGTTAAGAGAAGAAGTTTTTGCCTTTGTGTCTTATCGCAAAGGAAACACACGACCGAATGTCTTCTATTCTCAAGTTTCTCGCTCGTGTGTCCGATGAAGTAATAAAGACACTTGATTGTGTATCTAACTCCGGTTAAAGATTCGCTTATGTGTCACAACAGTACACAACCGTGTATGTTATTTCCTAACCTATCACATTTTGTAATTTTTATCTATATATTTAGGTTAGAGAGGGGCGGCAAATATAGAGAGTTTTGGATAGAAAACGATATTTATTCCATTATTTTGTTCGATTAGCATGTATGGTTAAATCATTTGTATCGGTTCGAGGGGATTTCGAAGCTCTCATAAGTATATCAATGGTGTAATCTAGTAATGTTCTTCTTATAGTGGTAGATGATTATGGATAAGTTTTTGTATTCATCATTATGAATAACATAACCTAGGTTAAATAATCTGAATTTGTGAGATTATTACTTAGATTGATCTAATTTCTCAATTTTTAAAGTTATCGTGCATTAAATCTAGAAGGCTAATTCTAGATTGTGCTACTGTTAGCATCTAATTGAAGAGCTTGTTTCATTTGATAATACTTAAGGGAAAATTCGAATAACATGGCTTGTTGTTATCTAGGATCAATAATCTCATATGAGAAGTTGAATAGCTTATTGTGGTTATATTTATTGAGTGCAAGAAAGGAGATTGAAACAAGAATTGATTATTATCTTTATTGTTATTAATTTATTCCGATGTTTGTTTGTCTTAATTTGTCCATCAAAGTACAAAACGTCAAACCCCTCATTTGTTTTTATTTTTTGATCTTTTTAAACCAATCAAATAATTGATAAATTGTTTGGACCAATTTTACGTGGGATCGACCCTTACTTATCTTAGCTACATTTTAGTGCTTGAAAGAAAGGCTTTTTTGGTGCCCAACTTTTGAATTTTTTTTTAGTTTCCAATCGTTGATTTCTCATGATTTGCTTTCCAATATTTCATTTTTTATTTATTTTGACACCCGAATTCACATGAGGTCCAATTTTATTGACGTGTCAAACGAGATTCGCCATATGATAGTCAAAACAACCACAAGGTAGCCACTTTGTCACATCACACCTCGTACTCTTAAGTAGCTATAGAAAAAAAGAATCAAAGGTTAGACATTGAAAAAAAATTAAAGATTGGCCACTTAAATAAAATATATATATATATATATATATATATCAATGGCTCGACACCAAAATATAGTTTTTTCAAAAAATTTATTTCAATTTTTTAACACCTAATGTCTAGCCCCCTTCTTGTACTATGATATATCTTTTTTTATTATAAATAGATTTCAAACCTTTTTTGTGCTTCTATGATATATATACAATCTCTCAAAACTTTCTTTTTTATATTGAAAATCGTATAATTTTAAATTCTAAAAAATCATCAATTACATGCATGCATATTTTCTTGTTATTATACTAATTGCACAAGCAATTTTAACAATGCATTTATTTTTTTAGTTTAATTCACAATTTACTTATTACCTTTATCATTGTCGTCATTGCTATAAAAAAATATTATGCTATAAAAAATATTGTACTTTAAAAGCTCAAATAAAAAAGCTTGATCACTAAAATTATTTATGTCGATTTTATCCCATCGCAACTTCCTATAAGAAGTTTAGCAAGTTATTGGATACAACAAGCTTATGTCATGCATGATATGCTAGTTAATTTTCTCTCTAGACGAGAGGAAGAAATTTTTATTTTTCGTAACTTTCTCCATTGACCAACCATTTATTTCACAAATGACAATCATAATAGGATCTTATATATCTTTTTTTTTAATTTAATATTAATTGGACCTTACATATAAATTTAGATTAAATGACATAATTTTAATTTTTTTATGGATGTGTAAAATGGTTTTTTAAAAAGTAATTTTTAACTAATACGAGTACTAAAAATTATCATTGATAAGTAAAAAAAAATACTACAAGCATGACATGAAAAATATTTATTAGAAATTGTTGGACTAATTTTGCAATCTTGAGATAAATTTCTTTAAAAAATTACATTTTTGGTAACCAATCTTTATTTATTTTTTTTGTTCCAATACCTAACTTTTGATTTTTTTTCCTATCCAAGTGCTCATAGCTACACGAGAGTACACATGGTAGAGTTGACTACCACGTGACATTTTTTTACCGCCATGTGGTAGATCTCGTAGAATACGTCAGCAAAATTGAATTTCAAGTGAATTCGATCACCAAAAAAAACAAAAAATAAAAATTTTAGTAACAAATCATGAGAAATCAACGGTTGGACACCAAAACATAAAAAAAAAAAAAAAAGTCAAAGGTTTGACGCCAAAAAAGCTTTTATCTCTTAGTAATTAGATCTAATAAGAAAATAACTGGGTTAGTTTGAAACATTCGGTACGCTACCACTTTTAAATTTAAATATTAGTTTCAATTTAATATTTTAATTAGTTTTAAGTTGAAATCAAAATATTTCTTTACACTTCAAAATTATAAAACCCTATTTTTAGCTCGAAAATACATGTAAGCACACCATAATCTTAGTCAGCTTTCATTATTATCTTTTTCTTTCAAATAATAAAATTCACTTCATCGTTCCTTCACCTCCGAAATTTTATCTTCTATAAAAATACAAATCCACACAAATTTTAACAAAACCCAATTTCATTTCGAAAAAATATCGTTATTTTGTAAAAATCATTGGGCGTTAATATATGGGCCTAGCCTAATACGTGACCCATCAAACATTCAAAAACCCGAAACCCAACACCAACTAGTTTACTGCACTTCGTTGTCTTCATTTCGCTTTACTCTCCTCCCTCTCGCACCCACCGTCCAACACCACCGTCAATGGCCGTCGCAACCGCAACGGCATCGACCGTCGGGTTCCACAAGCGCCTGTTAGCATCACCAAAGGCCTCTTCAAGAACTATTAGCCATAACAGAGCCCTAACTCTCTCTTCTTCCCCACCTTTTTCTTCAAGGGTTTCTCTTTCAGCTTGTTCTCTCTCTCCCTTCTGCGGCGACTTCTCTGGCACTAAAATCCGACCCGAGTGCCTCAATCCAGCTTCAATTTCGAGTTCCAAAGGCAAAAGAAGCGTTGTTACTATGGTATGATTTGCTGGCTTCGATTGTTCTTAACTTGATTTTTTCTTTTAGGTCTAAATTAATAATAAAATGCAATTAATTAGTTATTGTATTAGTTTTTGTTCAATTCAAAGCAGAAATTGTAAAGTGGATAATGTCACTGTTTTGCATACACTTGTGGGTTTGGCTCGCTGTTGAGGATTGTGATTAGTAGAATATGTGGGTTTTGAGAGGTGGAAAGAATTCGTAAAAGTTGCACTGTGTTTGCAATGACGTGAAATTGTGAGCGTTTGAATAGAAGGGAACTCTACAATCTTTAAGAACCATTTCTTTTTAATTCTTGGCCTCTTTGTTGTGTTTTGCTATTAGTGAAGGAGTTTCTTTAGCTTTTTGTTCAGCATGACTAGAATTTTTATTTTTTATCCCCTTTCCGGTATTTTCATTTTCCCTTAAGATGATGCCTTATTTTCCTCTCTCTCTCGCTCTCTCTCTCTCTCTTGTTTTTTTTGTCCCTACTCATTTTTATCAATAAAGGAACAACAAATGAAAAGTTAGTTAGATGCTAAGATGGCCTTGATTGTTCTCGAGTAACTAATTCTTGATTGAAATTTTATGCTCTAGATCAAGTCTGCACAAAATATTTGGAAAACATGCCCCTGCAACTATACCACACATCCACACCATCTCTTTCCTTCGTCCATTGGAAACGCTGGAACAATTTCTTGCTAAATTTGCCAGTTTCGATGGATAGGCTCTAAATATAATGTCCCGTGAGGGGAGATGAAGTTATCCTAGAGATATAGAAGGTGGGCACAAAGTTGAAACACACACTTCGCATGCATATGAAATTTTACACTTTTTAAAAAATGGTGCACATGAACTATACTTGTTGCCCATTCAAGAAATATCAAAGTTTCACAATTTTCTTGTTGACCTAGGAGTAGCAGTTATTGACTTTGTCCATGTTCCAAACCTGGTTGATTTCTGACTTAAACATTGCTTTTTTCACTGAGTTTGTTACCATACAAGTATTCTAGAAGTATGGGGACTCGACAGGCTCATTAGTTTGCGAATTTATTCTAAATTATGTACCCATCACGAGTTGAATCTTTGCCACATTCCTTATTCTGTATTCATTGTGTGTTGAATCTCTAGTGCATCTATATCATTGAAAGTTCCCAAAATTGCAAGCTCTTATTTGTTTGTTTGAATGCTTCCGCATTCAGGTTATTCCTTATACAAGGGGAACTGCATGGGAGCAACCTCCTCCTGACTTGGCATCTTACTTGTTTAAAAATCGGATTGTTTACTTGGGAATGTCTCTTGTTCCTTCTGTAACGGAGTTAATACTAGCAGAATTTCTTTACCTCCAGTATGAAGACGAAGAGAAACCTATTTACCTATACATAAACTCCACAGGCACAACCAAGGTTGAGTGTTCTTCTTGTTATCTATTCTTTACGTGTCTTTGTGTGTGCATATTATTATTATTATTATTATTATTATTATTATTATTTTCCTGCGTATGTTTAGTAAGAATGTCATGTTGTTTCCATTGAGTTTTTGATAGTTGACTTGGCTACGCTTGTAATTTTGGTGGGGATTGTGGGCAGCATTTAATCTTCTGTTTCAATCGAGACTTGCTGTCTTGGGGAGGTGGAAACTCCCAGGGAGTTCAAAAAAGAATTTAAAACTTTTAAGTTCTTTTGATAATTGCTATGTGTGTCTGTAGTCAGCTAAAGCATCCACACTTCAATAGAAGCTTGTTTATGCCAACTTATTTTATTTAGTTTAAATTTAAAGATATCTATCTAGTTAGAGTTTAGTTCTTAAAGAAAATATTGGCAGTTTAAAAAAAATTTGTGAATTGGTGGATAGAAGGTTGTTCTAAATAACATATGGAACTCGCAACACTTGATAATTCTGGAATTTTATACTGTGTTAGTTATCTGAGGGCATTCTTCAGATTTATTGAAATATTAAGGCATTTCGAAAAAAAAATTTACACTGTAACTTTTTTTTTAGAGTGGTGTAAAATGATAGTTCATATGATAAGGAGATTACTCTGCCTTGTTATGACTGATAAAGGAAGTAAAACAGAAAAGGTTGTTTTTTTTTTCTCTGGAGGCATGAATGGTATCATTTTTCTGGTGTATGGCATCTCCATTAATGCAGAATAAGTAAGAAAATTGGTGTTTTCCATTTTAACATGAATGATGGAATAAGATCACAATTTAGCATATATTGTTTGGATGCCATGAGTTTTGAGTTATTCTATTTCTCTTCTCTTCTTTCTTTCTTTATACAATATCAATTTAATGGTTAGATATTAATAATAACATTATATATATGCACAAGGGCGTGATTCCTTATAGAATCAACTAATATGTTGTTGGGCTCAATGTTGACACTGGTTTAGCTTTGCATATCTGTATTTCTTTCAAAAAGACTTAAAGAAGAAATAGCAGCTTGAAATTTGTACTGGGAAATGGTACACTGCTGACAATTTTTTTTCCCTCATGTTTTTTCAGGGTGGGGAAAAGCTGGGATACGAGACAGAGGCTTTTGCAATCTATGATGTTATGGGGTCATAAATTGCTGTGCCTTAATTTATAATGCTGTATTATTATGAAATCCAGTTTTGCAGTTCCTATTTTGCGTTTAGAGAATTTCTTAAGGATTCACAACACTGCCTTTTTTTCCCTCAAGTTCTGTCAGTGGCATGTTCGTTTCAAAATCTATTATTCAACTGCCAGATGTCACTCTATTTGTATATGTTATGAATCATGTTGATGCCTCATAATAACTTGGCTACCTTTTCAGGCTATAAAATCTAACTTTGCCTTCAAAACTGGTCCTTATGATCCAGTCCAAATCTTCCCAAAATTGCATGTTCCTGTGCTAGATGTTGATTTTCCTATCTGAGTTTCATTACTGGAGGAAAAATTTACACTTCTTGTTGTGCAGAGTGTTTAAATTGGTGGAACTGATTCTTAAAGTATGTTGGAAGGCAACAGAAAGGACGAAAACATGAAAATTGTTTTTGTCATTGCATCCAAAGCAACCTAACAGATTATGAATTCAGATAGTTGCCCAAAGTCTATTTGCTGTATTGAACTGGATGAGGAAGATGTTTATGTGTTGGAGTGTAGGCTGTCTTCCTATTGTTAGCCATGTCCATGCTTAAAGCAAAGTTTATTCTCCTGCTTCTGTGTATTTATGTATGCTTCTGTGAATATTTGTATGCATGTGAGCGCATAAATAATTTGCTTTAAATGTTCTATAGGGAAATACATTTATCATTGCCAACTCCAAAGCTTACTGGCTGCTAGTGAGAGAGTGGACTAGTTTAGTTCTGACATGAGTAGGATATGTATGTAGTGGAGCATATATATTATAGTTATAATTGTTTACTGATGACCTCTATATCAGTGTGTTCTCTGCTTTGTGATGTTAAAATAAGCTTAGTGGCATTTATGAATGCAAACAGTAAACCTTCCCACCAATGAGGAAATTCTCGTATATATTTTCTTTAATGACTGTTTTACACCACTGCAGGTATGTCAAACCACCTATATTTACTCTCTGTGTTGGTAATGCTTGGGGAGAAGCAGCCTTGCTTTTGGCTGCTGGTTCAAAGGGAAACCGTTCTGCTTTACCCTCATCAACGATCATGATGAAGCAGGTATTTCCTGGATAGGTGGTGCTCTATGCTATCCCCTCTTTGTGTATCTTGCTAGTTTTTTCTTGCTTGACTGCCATCAGTCTCTAGAATTCAACGTTAAAAATTTCTGCACTTTCTCTATCAATCTACAGCCAATTGGGAGATTTCAAGGTCAAGCAACAGATGTTGAACTTGCAAGGAAAGAAATAAAGAATGTAAAAGCAGAATTGGTAAGCTTAACAGTTATTTTGCTGATACTTTTTCAATGAGATACAAACCTCAATCTATGATTGCTGGTTACAAGGAACTGAAATTGTTCTTAGACAAGGTTTGTTCCTTATTGTTGTGTTCTAGTCTGAATGATTACCCAAAATAGTAATGCCACAATCTCTTCACGTCTGTCAAGAATGAATGCCAAAAAATACTCTATTTTTCTTCTTTTTAGTAGAGCTGGATGTGGGATAATGATGGCAATTTGCCCCGAGGAGCCAGGGCCTCATCTTGACCTGCCCTAACAAGGTAGCTTGGTGATCTTGAGGGTTGGGTTGGGGTAGCATGGCTTCTAATCTCAACTTGCCTTGCTCTGGGGCATGATGGGTGTGGAGGGCTTTGCTCTAAACCTCCCTGACTGTATTAGTGGGTGAGGAAACAAACAATTCAGGTCAATTGATGCTAATGACTAGGTTAGTTTTATACATTTTACTCATATATCAGTAATACAGACTTGTATGTTTGTATTACAGGATACAGAACCTGTCTGAACATTGGGTTCACGTAAAATAGTTTCTTCATACCTCACACATTCATTACCTACTGGTTAAGGAAAATGCCTGAGACTGGAGTCATATCAGAAAGAAAGACATGAGAAAGGGAGCCTTTTCTCCAACCACATACCTTTATAATCAATTACTGTTTAGCTGGCATGTACAAACTTTGGCCTCTGTTTGGCCTGCTCACTGTTGCCAGTTGAAGTTTAAATTATAGCCAGCACATACAACTGCAGGCTTGTTTGTACATGTGTGTGTGTGTGCAAGCATGCTCTGGAGGTAGGAAGTCTGTGTTTTGCATGTGGGGGGAAGAAACTGGGGGCACGAGGAGGAAGAGCTTCTTTTTGACATCCCAAAAGATACTTAATTTTAATCCAAGGTTTACAGCCTTGGTTCAAAAACAACCAAATTAATTTCTGGAAGAAAATGACGTAGCATTACTTCCATAATTGGAGAAGGCTTGAGAAATTTGCTATCTTATCAAGTGCTTTTTGGCTGAGCTCACATTTCAACTGCTGCTGCTGCAGTTATTCTGCATGGAAAGTTTTAAATTTGTCTACAGTACTGATCACATGACTTTGTTTTGTTTTTGTTATTATCAAATCAGGACTCATTTTAGCAGCTTTCCAACTCTGAACTTCAGCGATTTTAGAAACATATTTACCATTTTCCAATTTATAGGTCAATCTCTTGGCAAAACATATTGGAAAATTGCCTGAGGAGATTGAAGCAGACATTAGTCGACCAAAGTATTTTAGTCCAAATGAGGCAGTTGAATATGGCATCATAGACAAGGTACTTTAGTGACAAAAAAAAATGTTTCTTTTGTTATTTTTTCTTTTAGTTTTGTCATCTTATAAGTTACCTTTTCCATGATTCTTTTCAGGTATTATACAATGAAAGGAGCACTGAAGACCGTGGAGTTGTTTCTGACCTTAAAAAGGCACAACTTATTTGATTTGTTGTGGAATTCACAATTGATGACCATTAGGAGTAATCAGGTAAGCTAAAACTGCTAGTCATTGTCAGATCTTTGACCATGTTAGAAACGCTTTTATGCATGTAAATTTTGTTTTCATATCATAGATTGTCATTGACAATCTGTGCTTCCTTTCTTCCAACAGGTGTGTGAGATTTGTCTGCTTTTTCGTAAAATTCTTTTACGGCACAAGTGATTACTTGCACTTCATTTGAAAATGCTCGATAATCTGACGGCGGTGTCAAACTTAATGGAGTCAGTTGGGTAGTCATGTGGTGACCACAAGACCTCATTGATCATTCTTTCATTAAGTGCCGATCATTTTTTGGAAAATTCAAAACAGAACATGCTTTCATGGCATTGTTGTGTAAACCATTTGAACCCTCCCAAAAAAAAAAAAAAACAGAGAGAGATAGAGAGGAACTGACTGTCTAGAACATGTATGTTGAATCACCATCTTATACTAGTTTCAATTGATGCACCAACTCTGTATCAGCCCCGCTCTTAACTAATCCACTGCTCTTGCTCTTGAGATCAATCATGTTCTGGAATGAAATGCAATTGCTTGTTCTTTTCATGGGCACGCCACCTCAGCATTATTGCTTCATATTTCTTACCGGAAACTTCTTCAATGAGACACTTGGAAAGGGTTGACTTTTAGCTAAATTGCTGATTTGACTATATAGTAAGCATGCGTTGCAACTTGGATTTGCTTTTTGATTTTTATGTTAAGATTGTTGGATTTTGAGATTCCAAGTGATTGAAAGAGGGAGTATTGGTTAGTGGTGTTCCTTATTGTTTGGTAATAGGAGTTTCATCCCCCATTCATATATATTACTTTTTCCCCCTTTCTCATCACAGATTTGCAAGTGTAGGGAGGGGATGCTGGATAGTAACACTTGTGTAGATATCAACCACACACATTTTGCCCCCAATTATCAACAGTGCCTCGTCCATTATTCGCTTCCAGTGCCTATACCCCTCTCTTGAGGGTGATCCGTTATAGTGATAGTCACTATCTTCAAACAGGCCCTCTTTCTCTAAGTAGGGATCTTTTGTTATGTGTGAACTGTCAAATTATGAGTGAACCACTGAGCTGATACTTGTTGAGAGTTAAAAGTACTTCTGGTTTTGTACTCCAAGTTATTTTTTTAATAAAATTCTCTACTTTTTAGGTTATTTTAACGAACCTTTGGCTGGAGGATTGGAGATTGAGTTGATGAAAGACTCGACAGGTTGTGAACAGGAAACGCGTTTTGAAGGAGAAACAAGGCTGTGGGAAAGAGAAATGCCGTGCTATAGGCTATGGCTACAAAATTCAACGTTCCTGTCCATCAATAATATACACTTGTAACATGTTTGTGGCATAGTATATCTGCTGGACACGTAAGCGCATCCCTGTAATTTCATGTGAAATTAATTTTATTTTGCAGGTCAATTTAAGACTAATGAATCATATTAACAGTGTCATCAAGTTATTCTGCTTGTATACATCAATAATCTAGTAGCACCATGTTTCTATGCTGGTCTTTAGAAAGTGCGAAACTTTACTGGCTTAGTTTTATGCAAGATTTGTTCGGGCAAGGAATGACTAGACTCAATGAAGGTGGTGGTTTTAACGTTTTGGGTAAGAAACTGGCAACTGTGAGATGACACGTGCTGTACCTGTGGCTGTCCTACAAAAAACCCTGGCACCAAAAAAGAGTAAGATGACTTATTTTGATGTGTATCCTGATACTCATTCTATTCAGGGCAATTTTTTCCCCTTATTTTCAAATGAGCAGGCGTGAAGATCAGAGGATGAAAATTTTGAAACAAGTAACTAATGTAATGGTAGTAGTACTTTTGAAGAAAATTTTGATGTCTCAAGGAATAATTTGATAGTGGTGATCACGCGGACTGGTTTAGCTGCTCTATGTTCTCTCTAGTGTCTGCTGACCTGGTGCGCTATGAAATTCCCAAGTGGACGACTTAAAAAAGAGTTACCTACCCCGATTTCTCCCTGGAAAAAGCAGATTGATTCGTGGAGTCTATCCTACTTGGATATTACACTTGCTATCTTTTATCGCCTAGAGTGACATGAAGTGCGTTGAAGCTCCAATGAAAGTTCCCCAAACATCGTTTTGATCAACAAAACAAAAAAATGTGAAAGTGGTAAGAAAATGATGAGTGCTCTAACCTCTAGTTTTGAGTCTTTATCTAAGTATTGACACGAAGAAGATCTTAATGCTTACCAAGTTTAGGAGGCCTCCATTTAGTGCGTTACAGCCAATTAATCAGTCTAATTGGCCCTATCTCTCTCATTGGTTTAATGAATCCGCATGTTAATTAATTAGCCCATACACAGCTTTCGATTTTGACTGACTCAGATTTTATTAGTGCGTATGCATGTTGTAAAAGAAATGGGCTGGTGGGATTTTGTCGGTTAGCCTTCGCCTTTGATTCAGTATAGTAAATTCCAAGTGATGATTGCAGGTATGTTTCCAGGAAAGACTTGGAGAGAATTAGAAACCAAAAATTCAAGTTTTCTACTTTCACTTGAAGAGGATTTATGAAATTATTCTAATCAGCCAAAGCTAATGGAGGCCTAATTTTTATGATTGTGTCGTTTTATTCACAAAATAATTTAAGTTATATGACAAATGGAATAGGAGAATCGAAGAGATGAAAAAAAATTAATAGATATATGTTCAAAACAAAGAAAAAAAAAAGGTTAATGGTTGAATCCATCCTTGTATCTCTAACTGAACTATTTTTTTTTTTGAAAAAATATTCGTTAAGTTTCTACTCTATTATTCTGATAATATTTTTAAGTTAAATCACATAAATTAATCATATGATTTGCATATAAAAGTCTTTTATCTTTTTTACGTACAAGAACATTTTGAAAATAAAAAATAATCATGTGTAATTCACGTAATTAATTATTATGATCTTATTTGAAAATCTTACTAAATTATTCACGTAATTTGCAATTTAAGTGTTTATGTTTATCCTTTCATTTTATATAATATCAATAGTGGTGGACATGCGTTTGAATGTCTAGGAGTAACAATCGGAAGTCACCTTGTAAGCTAGCTGTAACAACATCGATAAGCATAAATATATAAAAAGAATGTTATGCACTATGGTGGGGTGTTTTTTGTTTTCCTCGTTAATTTGAATGCCCAAAGCAAGAAAAGGTTATTTGTCACATTAAACCGAGGATCCATAAAACAATACATCCCAAAAGTACAATTATAATAGCATAAATACCATTTTACATGCTTCGAGAGATATCTTAAGGACTTGGCAAAAAAAGTGAGAAGAGAAACAACAGTTTTGCAAATGTATCCTCTTGCCATTACCATGGAAATGAGGCCTTGAGGTGACGTGTTGTACACATCATTAACCTAATCCTGCCACCTAAGCAGTCCCAATCGAAAGAAAAAAGGTTGCAGTTCTTCAACAGCTGCCACTGCAGCTTCTCAGAGCTCAACTATAAATAGGGGATTGTGAATTCATACTTTCTCATCCATCTTCTTAATGCCTTCTCTTATACACTCCCTCAACTAGTTACCTTTACTTGATTGTGGCAGTGTGATAATAGTTATGGGGTTTGCACTTAAGAACGGCTATTCCCTTCTCTGTGTCATGGCAGTGGCACTACTGCCTGCAATAACTTACTCCCAAGACTACACATACTCAAGAGCAACTTATTATGGTAGCCCTGATTGCTTAGGGACACCAAGTAAGCATACTTATTGGATCTCTCCTATTTATTCAGAGTTCATTACATGCATGGTTAATCAAGTTATGCAAAAGTAGACATTTGTAAGAGGACTAGTCATGTGTAAGCTTAACGATATTGTGTTTTGCATGAAACAAGTATTGACCTGCATGTAAATATTATTGCAGCTGGAGCTTGCGGGTATGGACAATATGGAAGGACGGTCAATGATGCTAATGTGGCCGGTGTTTCAAGACTCTACAAGAATGGCTCTGGCTGCGGCGGTTGCTATCAGGTGCTAAAATTCAAGCCACTGATTACTTATTTCAGTCTTGAAAGTAATTAACAAGCCAAACTGCTAAAAACGAACTTGATCAAAATATTTGTTTTCCAAAATAACAGCCACGAAAGGAAGGAAAAAAGAAGAAGCTAGTGATAGATTTTATATACTGCTGGGTATTTATTACTATTATCATACCCCAATCATTGGAAAAAATTGATCGCTTTGATTTTTAAAAGACACAATGTTTCCAAACTTGTTTTTGTGTGTTCAAAAGTCACTTGTACTTTATATTTATTTACATACACCCACTTGCTGAAGTGCTTGCTTTTACGTACTCCTCGAACAATTAGAAATACTTAACAATATATTAATTATTAGTTAGGCTAATAAACAAATGTATTAAGTATTGATAATACCGGCTTTACATATTGTTCATTAATTAGTTAATAACAATTTCAGGTTAGGTGCAAAGCACCAAAGCTTTGCACTGATGATGGGGTGAACGTAGTGGTTACTGACTATGGTGAAGGAGACAAAACTGACTTCATCCTCAGTACACGGGCCTACGCAAGAATGGCACGTCCATACATGGCCTTAGAGCTGTTTGCATACGGTGTAGTTGATATAGAATTCCGGAGGATCCCTTGCCGTTACCCTTATAACCTCTTGGTCAAGGTCCACGAAAATAGCAAGTTTGGTGTGTACTTAGCCATAACTTTTTTGTACCAAGCTGGCCAATCTGAAATTTTAGCGGTACAAGTATGGCAGGTATGTTTATGATTTCTTCTTCTTCAAACTTGTAATTTCTTGAAACCCCATGTCACAAACTGCTATATAGGAGCTAGCATGTGAAAATGGATGTGATGTGATGTGATGTCTCTAATTTGTTTCTTAATTCATATGTAGGAGGATTGCAAGGAATGGAGAGACATGAGAAGAGCCTTTGGGGCGGTGTGGGATCTGCCTAATCCACCAAAGGGTGACATTACCTTGAGGTTCCAAGCGAGAGGCAGTGCAGGGATAACATGGGTCCTAGCAGGAGATGTTATACCAAGTGATTGGAAGGTTGGGGTTGCCTACGACTCTGGCGTTCAGCTTGTTTAAAGGCTGAAGATATATATATAGGTTATTGGTCTATGCACTAGTAGGACATACAGGAGCTGCTACTTAATTGTTTCTTGCTAGTTTGCTCGTCTTTAATTATTATGTATTTTGTAATCCAGCAAGTGCTCTTTGCTGAGAACAATAACTATTGGCCTATGCACTTTGTATGTGTTAGTAATGATATGAATAAAGTTCCACTTATTGGGATATTTTGGTTGCCATTAAAGGAACAAGTTGGGCATTTGCATTTTCAAAGGACATGACCAAGCACTCACATAGAAAGAAGCATGATATGTATAATACATACATTTTATAACCGAGTCCTTAAAAATTAGTTCAAAAAAAAAAAAAACTTAAAATATTGCTCTTCCAGTTCCAAATGCTTTGATATAGCAGGATATGTATGATTCTATCGTGGCAAAGGATTCAAGGAACCCCAAAGCATACTCAGGTCTCTCTAATTGTCTGAAAACAGATGCCTTTGTTTTATTTATCTGCCTAGGCAACAAGCTGTTAATTGACAAAAGAGAGTGAGAAACAGAAAGAAATGTCCTTCGTGAGTACATGTAAATAAAATAATGGGTTCTAGAAGATGATACAAGTCATCATACATCATACCATATCTCTTGCCAAGTCCCTTCTTCAACATGTCCTGCTATTCCTGCCTTCAAAGTTCCAAGTGGAAAAATTGCCAAGCTGCAAATCTAACGGTGTTTAGACACAGTCCTGACAAGCCAATTGTAACTGCATCCCAGTTAACCCCACCAACATTCTCCAAGGCTGCTCCAGCACAGCCTCCCCCCACCACACGCGACTTTTTCTAACACCACAGAGCTAGCTTTGCAGAACTATGGCAGCCAAAGGCTACCTGCTGCAGGTTTTCAATTTCAAGAGTGACTGGAGACACAGGTACATGAGAATATTGCAAAAAAGGCCTTATCATTCGCCAACCAAAAGGGACAGGTAAAAGGAAGTTTGAGAACTTCTCTCTCAACTTTTTGGGAACCATATGAAATTTATAGGACATGGCTAATTTTGGAATTTCCCTTCTGAAATCACAGATGCGGGAACAACATTACATGTAACTACTCCTTGTAACTTGAAAGTCAACAACTCTACAAGCGCTAAAGGAGAGGCAGTTGACTGACTGATCAAACTGATCTTCCATATATATATATATATATATAGAAAGAAAAAGCAACAATGTTCGATACGTGTTTACTAGAAACTTGAATGCAGGCTGCATTTTGATCAGAGTCAGGAGCATCATAAAAATCTCCATCTGGTCAGTAAGAAGGTAGAGGGATAGAGCTATAAGATACAAAAAGCCTCCAAAGTCCAATGTTGCAAAGCCTGCATAAATTTAAGCACAGCCTTAGTAACTTTTAATATTAAGGAACTATTTCTTCACATGAAGAGTGCATTCATGCATTAAAGGAAGATCCTAATCTGACACCAAGCACATTCAAACTATTTGGGACCCCACTAATGCACTTACGCTGCCTCTTTTTGCAGGCCAAATATTAATATTAGACCAGTCCGAGCAATTTGTTTACTTTTATCTATCCTGTTTGATTCTTGCCAAAAGGCTTGAGTACTCCATAAGGCTCCTAGAAGTTAAAAGTTTGATATCCTTGTGAAGATGAGCATCCTTTGCAAGTTACAGGAATTATACTCATAAAGATGCAAGAACAAATGATTGAGTTAGTTATATACAATGATAATTCATACTTTCTTCAGCATTAAAACTAAAATAAGTGATCAAAGATTGCGCTTCAGTGCATATGTATACAACCATGAAAACATATTTATATGGAAATATCATACTCATAATCGTGATCCATCCAGAAACTTACAGTGAGAGCAAAATATCAATGCTTCATCCAAATCCAACTCTTAGCATGCAGCCTCAGTACATCCTACCAGTGCACTCTGGAGAACCACAATAGCAATTCTTCTTCTTTATATTACCATTGGAGTCAAAAACCTGATCGATCATGTAATTGTAATGGTAAGCAAGCTCTTGCAAGGGAGGAATATTCTCAGCAGCAAAGAACATTATGTGAGGAATTCTCTTGTCATCATGATCATAAATAACAGTTTGGGCATAAAGATTTGGGGAACAGCTGTGGTTAATGAATCTCCCCACATTGCCACACTGTGCTGCATCAATGGTGAAGCCACTATTCTGCACTTCTACATCAGCACCTGACTGAGCTTCGGGCATGAGGGTTGTAAGTCCATCCCAAAGAAAATTGTCATTGAACTGATTTCCAATATCAAACAAATACTCATCGTTACCAGTTCTTTGTTCAGCTTCCTTCTCTTCAAGGAGCTCTCCTGCATACTCACAGATAAAACTTCCAGAAGGAATTGAATTTAAAGATCTCACACCCCATCCCCTTGATCCAGTTTTAAAGATTTCAAGCTGAAATTTGATACCATGCTGGCTGACTCTATTGTAGCACGAAGGAGGACACTTGCAAGAAGGACCACACTCATAAACTAGGGGCTTCGCTTCCACTATTGCCCCATTGTGGTTATACGGAATCCCTCCATTTTTTTCCAGACAAGGACATTTCCTAGATTCAGAGCATCCATTAATACAATCACAACCCTTGGGAGGCAAACGGCGACACCAATGAGGATATATCATATGAGTAGTGTATTTAAATGGTGGGGGCTTCTCATCATCTATGGTGTTCACAGCACATATGGGAATTTTCTCTCTCCCTTGTGAGATGTCATCTACACAGACACCCTCCCGCACTTTAAATTTTTTGGACTTCCTCACTACTTTCCCAGCAAGCTCCGGTTGGCCTAGAATTCGAACCAACTTAAACTTAAACACCAGCTTACCATGTGACCCTATTTCCTGCCAGCACTTCTCTACCAGATATAGCCCATCATAGATATATGTCCTCCCTCTTGCATCAACTGAATCAGTTGACTTTGAATCACCACGAATCACCCTTACAGGATTCTTTGCATCCATGCTGTTCTTCAATGCTAGATTACCTCTCTCAAGCTTCTGATCTTCAGGTTCCTTGTCTCCATTCATCATGTTGCCTCCAGACCCCGTGTAAATCAAGACATCTGAGTTATCTGTGTCATCATCATAGCCCCCAGACGATACAATACTTGTCGCAAGGATTTTTCCATCTTGTTTCACATAATCTATACCACCCTGAATTTGGCGATGTAGGCCAACAATATTAAGCTCCACCCTGTACATAAAGTCATCACCAACTTCAACCCCTGGGACAGAACCAAAAATTTGCTTTCCTACGTTGACACATTTTCCTTTCTCTTTAAGAATTTTTGATGCTTGTAAATCAATCCTCCTATGAGTTGCTCGCTCCGGCTTTGCTTCTTCTTCCTGCAAGAGCTTCCTACATACAGCCTGGAACAAACGCAATGTTTCCCTCACTTTGTTTCTGGTAACAATTGCATCATTGCCATCACCTTTACCACTCAAACTGCTGGGACAAGAAGGAGGAAGGCTCACACCAAAATTGTGTGATCGTGCAACCAAACGAAAATCATCACATACATTATCATTTTCAAGATAATCTTCTTTGTTACATTCAGTCATTTGGTCCATAACTTCTTTCGCCTTTACAGTGGGAGATGAGTTCTTCTTCACAATTCCTACATGGTCGTCTAAATCATTTATCTTTGTCTTCAAAGCAGATTTGGAACGTTTGTGCAATATGAAATTATGTTTCTGACCTTTGCTTTCTCTTGAGTCACCAGCCAACATATTAGGTTTATGCACTGTCTGTCCCTTTCTCCATGGACAATTCTGTTCAGCCATAAGACCTTGCACTACTTTCCTATCTGACACAGGCTGCAAAACCTCAAACTTGCCCTCAAACATTGAATTCTTACCAGTAGATCGGTCTGATAGCTTTCTCTTGTAGCTTTTATCCTCCACGTAAGCTACAAGGTCCCTACCCAGATTCTCTTCCAGATCACCAATTTCTATTTCGCCTGATTTAGAGACTGATGTGGACTTCTGGTCATGCTGATTTCGAATGGTTTCTTGAGGAGATTTGATGCCACTTTCATGTCTATTCTCTTCACCTACCTTCATCCTATGCACAGAAGTATCAGGTTCAACTTGAACTTTAACCCCATCCATTCTAGAAGCACTTTCTAATCTGCTTTCATTACTATCTCCATCTTTAACATCACCTCCAATTTCTTCCATGGGCTTTTCTTCAGTAACAGACTTCTCTTGATTCAAACTCTTCTTATCCACAGCAACCAGCACTTTGGCAGCCTCTTCCTTATTAAGAAGTGGAGCATTGGGTCCACAAAATGGAGGGAAGTCTCTGACAGCAGAAATTCTTCTCCGATTAGGATATTTCTGCTGGACAACATTTTCCACTGGACCAGTAACATCCACCTTACAGAGATTCTCTGATGCATCAGCAATTTTATGTTCTACAGCTTTTACTGCTTCAAACACACCAGCAGCTCCTACTGATTCAACCCCACTTGTACCATTCAAAGCATCTACGGCATCTGGAAGCGAAATCATTGCAAATTCAAGCCCATTCACCTGATCAGAAGAAACTATTGGTTCCTTTCCCTTGGTTTCCACTCGATTTATTTTTTCAAGACAACCACCAATGCTTTTCTCTTTAGTCACAGAATTCTCAACAGTACCAACACAGACAGCTTTCTCATTTTGTTTTACAATCGGAACAGCCAATGGTCCACACCCCGGTGGAAAATCCCGTACAGCAGAAACTCTCCGTCTTTTAAACTTGGGAGCATCGTCGTCATTTTCCATTGAACACCTCCCTGAATTATCCGAAGATACCACCCTCGTAGACTCCATTTGTAACAAATTGTCCACAAACCCCATTCAATGAACCACCCAAACTACTTAAAAGGAGATAATTACCATTAGCACCCAAAAAAAAATCAGGTCCTCATCTATCAATTAGTAACTAGAATACCAAGCAGACACAAACATATAACAACCCAAAATATCCCAAAAATCCCATGAATCATCAAGCATTGGCTCCTCAATTTATAATGTTTGCTTAAACCCAAAAATAAAGTAATTACAAAATCGTGAAACTGATGCGTGTGAATTTTGAGGTGCATTGATCTCTAAAATTTTACTTCGTTAGAAATTCAAGCTCTCTCAATATCCAGAAGAAATTAAAGGAAATAGACGAGGAAAATGATCGAATCCAAAAAATGATGCTCAAAGAAAGAAGATGAAGATAACTGACCTAGGTGGTGCAGTGAAGAAAGCTAGCTAGCTAGCATTTTTTTAACAAAATCAACGGTTAAAACGGTGGCGGAGAGCCATCGCCGGCCAGAAACTGAAGAGATTAGCAGCTCTGCGTGGTACAAAAGTAAATACGATTTCGGTGTGCGGTTTGTTTGTTGCCAATGCAGAGCGCGGCACCGAAGAAAAGTTTTTCGTATCGGTATGGCTGGCTTGTCATAAAGCGTGAAGTGCACGCGCATGGTAATGAATTTGCATTTGTTGCATAATTGGGTTGGGCCTTTTGGGCTCTATATAATTTTGAATTTTTTCAGCATGAAATAAATTTTTGAAAGAGATGCACATGCATCTAGTTTAACCCAATTTACAAATGCCAAACCTCTAAATTAGAAATTAAGATTTGATATTAAAAAAAAAATAGTCAGTTTTCAAGAATTCCAATGGATTCACATGAAATATTAATATGTTGAATGTCTGTGGGTGATTGGTTTGGAAGCGAAAAGCATTAAACATGTATCTGTATTTCCAAAGCAGTGTGACTTTTCCCTTTAAAAGACAGCATAGATATTATACATATAATAATAAAACAAAATATAGTTTAATTATAGCTAAGTTTTTGTTACGGGGAATAAAACAATAATGTTTTATGATCGTTTTATAAAAAATATATATTTTTTATTCTTGAATTATAATTTTATTCAAAACATTTTCTAACTTTAATTTTTATTACAAAGAGGTTTTTGTGTTTTTTTATGGCTGCTTTTACCCCAAACATGTGGGTCTAAAAAAAAAAAAAACTACAAGGAGTGAATGTGAGACTATTCATTTACTGTAGCTCCACACCTATTGTCCCTATTCATGCATTTTTATTTTTTTCCTTTGTTGCTACTTAGTCCCTCTTTCTTTGAAAAATAAATTAATTAGTCCCTTTAGTTTGAAAACTAATTTTTTTATCCTTTTTATCATTTTACTATTTTTATTTTTTTCTTTAAGAAATTATAATACATTATCGTTATATTTTACAAAAAAATAATAGTTCTTTTTTGCTTTTTTTTTTAACATCCGGCCTTTTTTTTCTTTTTTTCAGTTTATATATTTGTAGGACTATTATTATATGGTCAAATATATTATTTAGGTCCTTATTTATTAGAAATATATTTTATTTAAATAATAAAATTATTTATAGTTAATAATTATTATATATACTATCATTATATTTTACAAAAAAAATCAAATTATTATTATAAAATAGTTATTTGTATTTTGATTATGAATATTGTATTTATTATAAAATATAATATTTTTTATTATTTTATATTATGATATAAATAATATATTAATATATTATTTTATGAATTTGAATACATATTAAAATTGATAAGTATTTTAGTAATATAATGTAACTCCACACCCATTGTCCATATTCATGCATTTTTGTTTTTTTCTTTGTTGCTTCTTAGTCCATCTTTCTTTGAGAAATAAATTAATTAGTCCATTTGGTTTGAAAACTATTTTTCTTTTTTTCTTTTTTGTTATTTTTACCATTTTACCATTTTTATTTTTTGTTTTAAGAAATTATAATATATTATCATTATATTTTACAAAAAATAGCAGCGCTTTTTGCTTTTTTCTTTTTAACATCCAGACCTCCTTTTTTTATTTTCTATATTTGTAGGACTATTAATATATGGTCAAATATATTATTTAGGTCCTTATTTATTATAAATATACATTTTTTAAATAATAAAATTATTTATAGTTAATAATTATAATATATTATCATTATATTTTTAAAAAAATATCAAATAATTGTTTGTATTTGATTGTGAATATTGTATTTATTATACAATATAATATTTTATTATTATTTTAAATTATGATATAAATAACATATTAATATATTATTTTATGAATTTGAATATGTATAAAAATTGATAAGTATTTTAGTAATATAATATATTTGATAATTATAACATATAATTAAATTAATATTATATTATTATTAGTTAAATATTATTTTAAATATATTTTTATAATAATATAATATTTATTAATAAATGATTTATTTAAATATCAGATGACAATTGTTCTCCTTACGCATAAATAATTTATTTTTATTTTATCATTAAATTAGGTGTGAAAATATAAAAACATTTCGTTATTTTTTTTTACGTACAATTTGACGAGTAATAGAATGTATGATATTTTTTAAAATTTTAGTTTGAACATATATATCTGATTATATTATTTTTATTATTTAAAATTTATTTCTTCAATTGTATGTTCCTTATTAAAAATCTCATTGAATTAATTTTTAAATTTTATATAATTTTATTTGTTAATAAATTTTATTTTTTTACATGGCTTTTGAAATAAAATTTTAGAATATAATTATTTTATTTTTTAAAATATATTATTATAATTTATACGATTGGTTATTTTTATGATTTTTCCATAAAAATGACATTGCTACATATATAAATCCTGATGAGAAAGAGAGAGCTGAAAGTGTGTTTTAGATAATTTAACTTAATTTTTTTAAAATATAATAATCAGCTAAAAAATAATTTGGCTTGGTTTTTTTTTAAAAAAAAATTTACAGTTTTTATTTGGTTATATATATATATATATATATATATATATATATATAATCAAAATTTATCAAAAATAATTTTATATTAGTTTTTATTTAAATCTATTCACTTCGATATATTTCATGCAATTTAAGTGAATTTTTTTTTTAATTTATTTTATATACTGCGAGTGTTATTCAAGTTGATCAATTTTGTTTAAAAAAATACTAATTAGTTAAAAAACTCACGGGTTTTATTTAGTTTTACATATATAATTAGAATTCATCGAAACAATTTTACAGTATTTTTTATTTAAATCTATTTACTTCGATATATTCCATGCGATTTAGGTGGGTTATTTATTTATTTATTTATTTATTTTATATACTCTAAATCTACTAATATATATATATATATAAGTTAGAAATTAATTATATCTACACACATAATACCAATTATTTGTTATTTATTTTTTTCATGTTCTAAAATCTTTATTTTTACATGAAATTATGTAATTAATTTTTTGAAAGAACCTTTTAATTATTCAAATATAAATTTTTATAATAATATTATAAATTATTTGCTAACAAATATACATAAATCAAACAAGTTTGTTGAATATATAGATTCAATTTACATTAATCTTCGAAATAAAATATCTACTCGCATCATATCATACGAATCGTTAACCTTATGTATATAATGGTTGTCTTACTTGCGACGTAGCTTGGGTACTTGACTATTTGTCTCTAAGCTCATACGAAGGGCCTAGTGTAAGTCCCAACCTAGCCTTTTTTTTTTTTTTCCCCTTTCTTTTCTTATACTTTATTTTTTTATTATTTATTTAAAATAAAAAATTTTCCATAATTAATAGTTACTTTTTAAATAGACTCATTAACTAAAATTAAACACTCTTCTAATATAAATTGATTTAGCACTTTCTTTTAATTTGATTTTTTAAAACATAAATAATTAATTGTTTGTTTTCTTTTCTCATTTTCTTATTTATCAAAATAAAAAAATATTCCTATGATATATATATATATATAAACAAATTCCTACCATTAGTGTTAATTAATTTTTATTTTAGGCCTAATTTTTTTATTATTTAAAATACTAAAACATATTATATAGTTTTAGTATTTTAAATAAAAGAAAAGTCGAAGAGAATCAAGATAGCCTTATCTTACTATTGTATTAATAGACGACCGAAGGCTAGAAAAAATCAACGAGGCTCTTGGGTTAGCCTATCAAAGAACCATCTCATTCAAAAACTTAAGTCTGCTAAGTGACGATATAATTTATATTATTCTCTAGTATATCCCCTAAAGTAAAAGTCATTTGGGCTTAATTAATTGAAAGAGAAATGAGAGTGATGAGATTCGAATCCATGATTGTTTGGTCATTAATACTCCGATATCATGTCAAATGACTATCTCATTTAAAATCTTAAACTATTAAGTGAGACTTTATGATATAATTTATATTATTGTCTAACATATCCTATAATTGGTGTAACGATTTTGGCCTTACTAGAGATGCTCCATATCGCCTCTCTAGTCTAGATTATTTTTGGACACACCACCATTACTGATTTTTTTTTCTTTTTATCCCATCAAGTATATTAATTGTAACTAAGGGTTAACGTATGAAAAAACATGAAATTTGGACTTAAAAGAGATATTCAAAACTCACACTGTATAAAATGCTACCTCACTCACTTTCACATCGATTCCTTTTGAGCAGTTTTTTTGGTGAATGTGAGAAAGTATTAATAGGATAAAAAAATGTTATTTGCAATCCGTACATAAATCATTTTTTTCATCTACATTAATTGTCAAAATATCCTCTAACTAGCCAGTTTCTGCACATTAAGGCTAGCCATTTGATATTGTAGGTGCAAATTTTTTTTCAAAGTGCTCTAATTTTGTTTTAAAAAAGGTACTAAATTAATTTATATATAATATTGACATGCCCCAACTACTCTGGATCTTAATCTTAATACAATCCTTTCTCAATTGGATTTTAAGTATAATATCGATATCTATAGGGACAAGTTCATGAGATTTTTTTTTTTTTTTTTTGCCTCACTTTATTGATAACGTAAGAATATATCAATTCACTTACCATAATAAGCCTTTGAGAATGCTTTATGCATAATTAACAATCGCTCAAGCAAATTGACACTGGAATAAAAATATTTACAGAACTTGATTGATCTTCTCTCACAAAAGCAACATTTTATAAATAGTTATTATTCGTGAATATTCAAGTAATATGGTCATAGTAATAAGCAAATAGCAAAACTACTCTTTATTAATTTTGTTTTTTAAATTTGATCGTAGACATATATATATATCCAGATTAATTTCATTCAAACCTTGATCACAATGCATAAATAACTAAAATATCGCCCAAAAAAATAATATGAAAGAAAATTATTAAATAAATTATAAAATCAAGAACAAGATTAAATTAATTCAATCATGTCCGTACCCAAAACGCAAAAGGTATCATCGTTTTCTTTTTGCTTATATTTAGAGGTTTTTAAAAAATCAAATACAACATTAATATAAAATAAAATTCCCTTCAAATGTTATTAACCAAGCCTCAATTTGGTTACTTAATCCACAAATGTAGGCATTTACTAAATGCATATGTTATAACGAGATGAAAGAGGAGTAGAAGGCTAGAGTTAGTTTAATTGTTTAACTCTCAATTGTAATTAATTAGTTCGCAACTATAATTGGTTTTCTATTAGCTGCTATTATAAATAGCATTTGAAAAAAAAATAATTCTTGATCTTAATGAAGAGAGAAGATAATTCATCTTGAACTTTTCCTCTCAACCTCTGCTTTAACTTTTCTCTCCTTTCAAATTCATCTCTTAACATGCTATCAGAGTAGTCCAAATCCTAGGATTTTGCAGACTTCTAGTTGTGATCGTCTTCATTTTCTTCTTGTTTGATCCAATTCGTTGATCTTGATCGGCTCTGTTTCATCAATTCTTGTTAAGATCTTCTTGTTTTGATTTTAATTATTTCTTACTTGAATTCATCAATGACTTTAAGAGGAAGAACAATTGATTCTTCATCTGCTGCTCTCCACTGAAGGATCCTTCATCACCTTATTACTTGCATCACTTTGATCATCATGGATCAATACAATATCTCCTGAACTCACATCTAGTAACAATGCTACTTAGAGTAGGTCGTTTTTACTAGCTCTCTCGGTTAGAAACAAAACTAGTTTTATAGATGGATCAATTAAACCATTTGCAGCTAATGATCTTTTGTATAATGTTTGGATAAGATGTAATAATCTAATTGTTGCTTGGTTATTGAAGTCAATTTCACCTGCAATTACATCAATTATGTTCTATATTGATTCTACTTCTAAGATTTGAGAAACTTTGATGAAGAGATTTTGACACCTGATGATGCAATGATCTATAGCATGCAATTATCCTTGTGTACAATTTTTCAAATAAATAGATAAATAGATAAATATTTTATTGAATTAAGTGGTGTTTAGGAAGAAATAAAGAATTATTGGCCTTTACCTCGTTGTTTCTATGAAGAATTTAATAAAGAGTGTTCTCAAAAGTTTCTTAATATACAGTGGAAGAATCATGTGTCTAGGCTCATTAATGGCCTCAATGAGACTGATTCTGCTCTTAAGTCTCAAATTCTCATCATGAAATTTTTTTCCTACTCTAAACGAAGTTTATAACCTTGCTTTGAGAGACGAAAATCAAAGATATGTGCAATTTACATGTCAATCTCTTGTTGATAACTCAACAAAGGCAACAATAGTGAACATAAAGAAGAAGTTCAAAACTGATGTTATATATAGCTATTGTGGCAAGACTAGACACGTAAAGGATAATGTTATAGATTGATTAGTTTTGCAACAAACATCAAGTTCACCAAGAACAAATTTGCTGCTCCTACTTGTCAGCATATATGTTAGTATAGTGGCCCAAGATCTAATCTTATTTGAATGAATTTAACTTAATATATTATTAAATTATTTATAATAAAAGAAATCTTTTTATTAATTTTTGTCATTTATATTTATTCATCGAACAAAATTAGATAGAAGTCTATACAATATGCATTTGCATTAGTGATTGATTGAAAGATATGAGACAAACACTAATGTACATAAATGATATTATTAAATATTCAAATTGTAGCATTTGTTTTATAATTGGATTGGGCCTTTTGGGCTCTATTTGATTACGAATTTTTTCAACATGTAATAGATTTTTGAAAGAGATGCAAATGCATCTAGTTTAACCCAATTTACAAACACCAAATCCGTAAATTAGAAATTATGATTTGATAAAAAAAATAAAAACATAATCGGTTTTCAAGAATTCCAATGGATTCACATGAAAGACAAGCATAGATATTATACATATAATAATAAAACAAAATATAGTTCAACTATAGCTAAGTTTTTGTTACGGGGAATAAAGCTGGTGTGAGACTCCAGGATATAATTTATATTATTGTCTAGCATAACCTATAACTCGGTGTGAGAATTTTGGCCTTACTCGGAGATGCTCCATATCGCTTCTCTAGTCTAGATTATTTTTGGATGCACCACCATTATTGATTTGTGTTTTTTCTTTTTATCCCATCAAGTATATTAATTGTAAGTAAGGGGTAACGTATGAAAAAACATGAAATTTGGACTTAAAAGAGGTATTCAAACCTCACACTCGTATAAAATGCTATCTCACTCACTTTCACATCATTCTTTTTTAGCAGATTTTTTTGGTGAATGTGAGAAAGTATTAATAGGATAAAAAAATCATTATAAATAAAGGTAATATCAGTTGTATTTGTAGTCATCATTTGATAAGAAATCCTAGTATAGCCATAGAGTAGGCACCATTATCGAATCACATAAAATCTTTGTATTGTGTGATTGTGTTTGTCTTTTTATTATATTTTTTTTTACTTGATTCATTTCCTAACAATTTGACATGCATGTGTTTATCCATGAAAACTTTAGCTTCCAATTTGTTTTGAAGTTTCTCTAGTTTCTCTTTTTTTTTTTTTTTTTTTTGAGAAAGATAAGCTTTAAAAGTTTAATTTGGCTCTCCTCATATATTTAAGGATAACAAGATGCTTCATTGAAATTCAAACATATTATTCCAGCTCAATGTATCAAAAAAATTTACTCTTTTTATCCTAAAAAAAAATGTTATCTTTCTATTTATATCTATTCCTAAATATTTGTGTGGTTAAAGTTTTTAATACTATATTTCCTTAAAATATTTCTATTTTATAATGCATGATTAAATTAGATAGATTTTTTTCTTAAACAAAAATTATTTTAAGAAAATATTGTTAAAAAAATGCTAATACAGTATTATAATTAATAAATTTTTTAAATTGTGTAAAAAATCAAAAGAGACTAATACTTAAGAAAGAAGGATTGGGTTTTAAAGAACCCAAGGAAGGGAAAAAAAAAAAAAAAACACCCTCAAAATGCCAGATTTTAAACCATAAATGCAAAAGCCCAAAACCACAAAATCGCTTTAAAGCATGACATTTGAAAATGCATTACCATTCATCAAGTTTTTTGCACTCTCATCACGCACACACCCACCCACATACACATATATATCTTGTTTCGTTCTTTATTTTGAAAGATAGGTCTTGAATTTAGAAAATTAAATTGCTCAATGATTCGTGGAAGGAGGTGGGCTTTGGAGTTAAAACGTTTCGAGAATTCCATGTTAAAGAAAAAGAAAAAGAAAAAGGACAATTACATGCGTAGTTCATTTCATATGAAATGAACATCAATAGATAGAAACATTTGAATACTTCAGTAGCATCAGTTTTTTTTTTTTCCAGATATTTCTATCTTATATTAAAATAAAAATAATTTTTTTGAAATAAAAATGACAACAATATAAAATTGTATTCATTTAGAAGCAGTTGGATTAGTATTGGACAATAATTTGTTGGTTGATGATGTCGGTTTTATTAACACAGACAAAATTCTTGTTTGTGAATATTCATGTGAGAAGCAAACCAGAAATGTGTCTATTCTTTAATTTCTTATGAAAAAATTTAAAGTCATGGACACATGCAAAACACTCATTAAATTAATTAGAAAATTAAGCAGAATGAATTACAGCCATTGGATAAGCAAAAAGAATTACTAGAAGTTTTTCATATATATATATATAAAGACGCAACAATTCAATAAATTAAATCAAAAGTATTATAAAATGAACCCTTTGGTAACATAAAAATCTATGTAAAAATGGTTCCTTCGAATTCACGGCTTGTATACAGATCGAACATAAAAAACCTATAAATATATATCAAAAACGATGAAGTTAACAACCTTCCTTCTGTTCTCCCTTTCACGTCTATAGATGGATTCAAGGGCTTAATAAATTCCAAAGTTCAGAAAAGCAGAGACAGGCCAATAAGCACGGCAGACACCAAAGATAGAGGTCCCTGACCAGAAGGAAGCAAAGTGGGCGGTCCGTTGGCGGCATGGGCGACGTCTTCAGCAGCGTTCTTGGTGTAATTGTAGGCTGTCGAGGTAGTGTTAATGACGTTTCCTGTGAAGCTTGAGGTTTCATTTATGGCAGATCCCACCGTCTCTTTGGCTGAGCCAACAAGATCATTAAGAGGATCCAATGATCCGACAGTGAGAGAGGAACAAAGGATGGTGATAAGGAGAGTAAGAAGGAAGAGAGATGAGATTGTTATTGGAGATGTTGAGAATGTATACATGGTGTCTGAAATTATTCTCTGATCTGATCTCTTGTATTAGGTAGGTAGGAGAAGATGGGCAAATATATAAAAGCAGAGATATTGATACCCTAATTATTAATGTGATGCTATGTCATTTGGTGTCATTGGCTATATAAAACAGAAAATAACGTCGTACCCACCTCCTCAAATCCAGAGATCATTCCTATCCAAATTAAGTACTCCTATATATCTAAACACACGGCTTTAGTTGGTGTTCTGAGAGAAAATAGTTAACTACAAAAAGACGACTACCTGATGCCTAGTTTTTTCAGTGTTAATTAGCTAATACGCCTCATTTTCATTTTCATGAAGTTGAAGCAAAGTTATTAATGGTTACTTCCGAGTTTGGAGATGTGTATTTTTCTTGTTGGCGATCCACCAAACAAATTAAAGGGCATTGTATAAATTAAGTTTCTCTCTCTCTCTCTCTCTCTCTCTCTCACGCACACACACTTACACCATAACTAATGATACTACGTTTCATCTTGATGAATGGAGCATGTGACTTCGAAGGTATATGATTTGATAAGAAATATATGTTAACATCCTATGAAGACGTCATGGTTAATTTGATCAATAATCACAATCAAACTGCATGTAACTTCAATTTTTAATCTCAATGCCAAAACAAAATTAGTACTCGTCGTACGTGACTATATATGTTGATTAATTGTGGGTATCCAATTTATCCATGAGCCATTGTTAACTTACTACTATTACAATAGTATTACTTATATTTTTTAAACTGAATTTGGAAATAAAAATAGCCAGCAAAGTCATCTTTAATTAATTATCCTGTTGGCTACGGTTTGTAAATTAATCATATTTCATATATCTCAAGTGAATCACCCACATATATAGCAGAATAAGTTTCTGATCAGTGTTAAAACTTTTATGAGGAGCTAAAAAGGAAAAAAAAAAACTTGGATTCAGTTGTATTCATCATAACCTAATTTTAAACCCCATGATTATTTTAAAAAATAGCAGTGTTAAAAGAAATAATTTAGATATTAAAAAAATAGTAGTGTTAATTATTATGGTTGATTTTTAATTTATCCATAAGATTTAAGGATTTTAATAGTAAAGTGTTCTTTTAATTTGTGATTGAATTTATTAAAAAATAAAATGTGAATCGCTTAGCAAGATAATTGAACCCTTTTATTGAATCAAATTTTAATAAAAGGTATGAATATCAAAATATCCAATTAGGATATGGATTTTTGTATGAATATTGAGGTTTACTATCAATAGTATTTTTATTTTAATAATAAGTATATGATATACATTTAATGGATTTTAATTAATACTTGGAGTTTATTGACCAGAATGATAAAAAAAATAGTATATTTTGAGATGAATTGTTGCTTTAATGTTTTAGGTACTAATGAAATTATAAGAATTGCAAATAATGATTGTAAGCTATATTTTTAATGGTGAAATATTAAGACTATTTTCTAGGAAAAGTTTTTAAAGTGAAAGAGATTAATCTGACAATTTTATATGTTTTAGTGAAAATAAAAAACATATATATTGTACATGAATGTTTTGCATAAATAAATTGATTGGCGCGTATATTATACGTACAGTGATAACAAAATTGTACTTTAATGTAGTTATTTTTAGAAATATCCACCTGATTCGTGTTGTTTTCTCTCGCTTGAACGAGTGAAACAGTATTATATGAAAATTATTTAACAATATTAAGTATTAATAAATATTTTTATAATTTTAAATTAATTGACATTTAAGCATTCATAAATTATTACGTATACCGGGAGTTGTACACTCCACTCTAAAATAAAATATGGAAGTCACAATAAAAATTATTTATATATCCCATCCTTAAGTGAGAGAGAGAGAGGAGTACAACTCTAAATAAATTGAATGATTCATCTGGTATATTGCAATGTCATTAAACATGCATTATTGATTTCTCTATCATTTATTCTTCATTCTCTTTAACTTCTTTTAATTTTTTACATCAAGATAACATGATAAGTCGACAAGGATAATAATATCCAAAATTTTTATAGAAGTAGTAACATAAAAATTTTACAATGTCAGTATCACTATATTATAAAAACGTCAATCAATTTATTCATACTAGACATCAATGTATTATATATATTTTTCTTATTTTCATAAAATTAAGCACAAAAATTATCAAAGTAATCTCTTTGATGTTAAATCTTCTTTTATAAAATGACAGGAGTATTGATGTTTCGTCATAAATATTATGGCTTGCGAGTTTTATTTGTAATTCTTATAGCTATAGTTAAATTAGTACCTAAAACTTAAAGCAATAATTCTTCTCAAATTAAATACTCTATGTTATAAAATAAATAGAAATAATAGGAGAATTGAAGAAAAATATGATAAGAAAATGAAATCACTATAATGTGGATACAAGTGATAAGAACTTCAAAGTTTCTTTTATTCTCTCTAAAAAACTTATACACCAACTAATGAACAATCAAGCCTATTTACGGGCTTCAAAATTGAAGAGAGAATTGGAAGGGACTATGAATAATCAATTGCATCACCCATTCAATTTCTCATATTGAATGATGAATTGAATCAGATTAAGAATCATGAGTAATGGGGATATGAAAAGTGGATGAACATGATGATGGACATTCATTATTTCATAACACTCCCCTCGAATGTCCATTGTATAAGGAACATGCCTCGTTAAAACCTTACTAGGAAAAAACCCAATGGAAAAAAAAATCCTAGTAAAGGAAAAAGAGTACAATATTCTTTGCACACATTAATCTCCATTTTGGTCTCCCTCTGTTGAAGGCATTATTTAAGATCTCTAAGATGATGTATTCCGATCTTGTGAATCATCTTCTCAAAAGTTGTGGTAGGTAATGCTTTAGTGAATAAATCTGCCGGATTGTCACTTTGATGTATTCTTCTTTCAATGGAATTATGCAAGCGACATTATCCTCATATGATATTGTTGGAACTTCTTTTGTTGGTAGATAAACTGCATGTCTTTCGGATACAATTGATCGTTGATCTTAGCCAAACACATTCTCGACTTGCCTCGTGAATTGGTATTTCGCATGATTTGAAGATGTAACAGCTATAGTTTGCTTTATAGAACACAAAGATATAGCTGGATCTCCATATGTAAATATATAATTAGTTGTGATCGAGCTTTGTGTAGATCGGATAAATAACTCGCATCCGCATAACCAATTAATCTTGTCTTTGATTTATTAGAGTAATATGAGCACGATAGCAGAGCAATTTCATATGTTTGGACATCTCATTTAATCATATTTTATGATTTGATATTGTCCCAAAGTGAATTTTTAATGTCTTTTTATCGCAAGTGCTAAATTACTGAAGTGGGAACAAATGTGGTTAAGAAGAGTCGTTTTGAAGCTCTGCTTTGTGAATATAGCATGGGCGTGTCGGAATGCGTGGGCGCTCGGGTACGGAAGATAGTTCCAAGTTACAACGAGAAGAATGCATGGGCATGTAAAACTACGTGGGCACGCGAAACCCGATCCTGACGGCAGAGTTCAATTAGGAAACAGATTTTGTGCGATCTTTCGGTTAAGGCAACCGCTATCTTTAAGGAAAGGGAGATCGAATCATATCTTTTTTCCATATTGGAGAGAGAAAAAGGAGCCTATAAATAGAATAGGAGGCGACAAATTAGGGAGCTCGAATTTTGTAACTCTAAACAGAATTGTTCTTTTCTTTTTCTCCGAATATTTCAGCCACCATGTTTAGGAGTAGCTAAACTACCTTTCCTTGGTGAAGGAGCGAGAATCTTTTGGAAAGAAACGATTTTTGAGGTGCTTGTTTTTAATATTAATTCAAGTTTAATTCATTCAAGTATTGAACTCTCTTCTATACTTATTTATATGATTTTTTGGTTTATTTGCTAAAATGCACGGTTAGTGTATAGGCTGAAACGATCTTAAGCTATATTAAATATTGGATCCGTAATTGTTCAATCACTTTAACTCGATAGCAACTAAAAGTATATTGTTTGTCTGCGTCGAGAACTCACGACTTTTAGGGAGATTGTTCAACTTGATTAAATATAACTACATGTGTTATGTTGACTTGTTTTGTTGATCTTTCTAATACCCAAGGCTATTGTTTAATTACATCTTATGATCGTATCTAGGGTTGTTAAACAATAAGGGCTGATTGGAATACATGTTTTCAATTAGCTAGACATAAGGAAAGATTGGTTTAAATATCTCAACAAATATTTGAATGATTAACCGATACTTTTAGTGCATCGATGATAAATCTCGAATTCCAAAAGAGGATGTATCCCGAACCAAGGTTTGTTTCGGATCGCTAATTTTGTTTAATTAAATTGTTGAAGTTTATATTTCTGTCTTTAAATTTCAAAATTGAAATCCTTCATAACCAAACCTCCTTTATTTACTTGTTGTTTTAGACATCCGTAACAACTAACGAATCGAGTTCCTCGTGGGATCGATCCCTACTCTCCCTAGCTGTATTTATTTGTTTTTACGGGAGTTTAGGAGTTAATTTGGGTGCTTGGGATAGCACTACCGCAGCCCATATAAATTATTCCTCGAAGATAACGTAGTATATATTTAACTTTATTTCAATATCTTCGTATTAAAATAAAACTATGACTTGCTAATAAATTTATAGAAAAAAATATATCGGGTCGAGTATTATTAGCAAGATATATCAATGCACCGGTGGCACTAAGATATAGTACTTCGGGACCAAGCAGTTTTTCGTTATCTTTTCGAGGTCGAAAATGATCTTTTTGGATATCAATTGAATGAACTACCATTGAGCTAATCAATGAATAGTCTTTATATAGAATAATTGTAGAACCTTTTTCTATACAAATTAATTGATGAATAAAAGTCTCATTCTTTAAGTGCTCGAACTACGAGTCAAGATAACATTTTATTTTCCCAAGGTATTCACATCAAATTCTCTTTTTAGATAACATATGACACTTAAAATCTCTTTAGGAGTTCT